TCTTGTTTGTTCATTAGTTTGTAGATTCATTCCTTCATTATTGTTTGTTCGTTTATTCTTAGATCCATTCGTTTATTCTTGTTTGTTCATGTGATCATAGTTTAATTCCTTCTTGTTTGTTCATTTGTTTGTAGATTAATTCCTTCATTGTTGTTTGTTTGTTCATTCATAGATTCATTCATTCTTGTTTGTTCATTAGTTTGTAGATTCATTCCTTCATTCTTGCTTGTTCATTTGTTCTTAGATTCATTTCTTCATTCTTATTTGTTCATGTGTTCATAGATTCATTCCTTCGTTGTTTTTATTCACTCGTTCGCAGAATCATTCGTTCTTGTGTGTTCATTGTATTGTAGATTATTTCCTTCATTCTTGTTTGTTCATTCATTTGTAGATTTATCCCTTCTTGTTTATTCATTTGTTCTTAGATTCATTTAATCAGTTCATTTAATTTATATTTGTTCGTCTGTTTATTTATTCATTCATTCATTCTTGCATTAGTCTGTTCGTGTGTTCATAAATTAATTCATTGTTTTACAATTTGTCATATATTTGCTTTTTTTCTGTTTATTCATTTATTCAGTCGTGTTCACTTGTTCATTTGTTCGTTTATTTATTGTTCTGTTCATGTGTCTATTACTGTGTTCTTTCATTCATGACCTTTTGAATGATTCATCTATTTATTCATATGTTCACTGATTTTTGTTCGTTCACATATTCATTCATCCATTCTTGATGGAAAATGTATTTGCTTTTATGTTTTGAAGCTATTTAGTTAGTTAATTTATTAAGTACATATAAGTAAATATGTTTAATAGTTTAAATTTGGTATTCAATAAACCCATTTAGGATTGAATCATGATTCCCAGAATTGAGTCACACTGAATTGTGAGGTTTCTAAAAATTCCCCCACTTAACGCATGTTTCAGGCCTTTTATTTGAAGAGTATCAGGTTTGTTTGTGTGTTTTAATAGAGTAGATAACAGTGAGACTGTTTGTGTGTATAAGATTAATCTGGGATTTAAATAAATGAATCATCTCAGATCATTTGTCTCATAATAACATTTGCAAACACGACACAGACCCAAACAAAACAGACGCGGCCCTCGGCCCATCATTAGATAGCATGGCTGTGCCGTGACCCGTTAATGGAAGGTAATGTACCCTACAGAGTGTTAATTTGGGGTGAAAGCAGCTCAGTGTGTGTGTGTGAGACAGTCAGAGAAGAGTTATGAGCCGGACTGCGTGCCATCGGACGGGTCAGCGGGCATCTAATGGAGGCATTCAATAATAATCTGCTGCTCGTGCCATGTCGTTTTACTGTGTGTGTGTTAGTGTAATGGTAGTATCCGGTGTATGTATTGATGACTCCAGGGATCGATGCGTCTTGGGTTACGATCCATCCATTATGTGCATGTGTGTGTGTGTGTGTGTGTCTGTGTAATATTGAAGATCTCTGCATTTGTGCTGGCAGTGAAAGCAGTGTTACAGACATGAACAGGAGAGTTTTTAACTGATCTGTCCATCAATTCTAATTACTAAATATAATGTAGAAACTTAAATTTTCTGTAAAGCTGCTTTGCAACGATTTGCATCGTGAAAAGCACTATACAAATAAACTTGAATTGAATTGAAATTCAGCCATTTGTTTGTTCATTCTTTCATTAGTTTGTTCATTTATTTGTTCATATATTCATTCATTACTTAGATTCATGCTTGTTCTTTTGTCTATTCAGTCATGTTCATTTGTTCATCCATTAGTTTATTTGTTGTTCTGCTCATTTGTCTTTTTCTGTGTTCTTGGATTCATTAGTTTATTGATTTATTCATTCGTATGTTTGTTGGTTTTTCGTTCATTCGCTCAAGTTATTAGTTAATTTGTTCATTTATTCTGTGATTTGTTCATTCTTGTTCATTGAATTGTTTTATACTAATTTATTAATTTGTTAATTCTTTTGTCTCTTGGTTCATTTATTCATTCATGTTCATTTGTTCATTCATTAGTTTCTTTGTTGTTCTGTTCATTTGTCCATTTCTTTTCTCTTTGGTTCATTTGTTTGGTAATTGATTAATTCATAGTTCATTGGTTTTGTTCGTTAGTTTATTAGTTTGTTAATTTATTGAATGATTTCTTCATTCTTTAATTAGTTGATCAAATCTTTAATTGATCATTCATTGCTTTAATTGATATGTTTGTTCTATTGTCTGTTCATTCATTATATTAGTCATGTTCATCTGTTCATTCATTAGTTTTTTTAATTTGTCTGTTCTTTGTCTAATTATGGTTTTTTATTTGTCAGTTTGTTGATTGATTCATCCATTCATTCATGTTTGATTATTTTTTGTTCATTAGTTTATTAGTTTGCTTGTCAATTTATTCCATCATTCTTTCATTAGTTTGATCATTTATTTGCTCATATGTCCATATTTATTCATTACATTAAATCATATATTCTTTTTTCTGTTTAATTTATTCAGTCATGTTCATTTGTTCATTCATTAGATTGTTTGTTCATTCATTCATTCATTTTTGTTCATTAATTTATTAGTTTATTCTGTCATTTGTTCATTCTTTCATTCGGTTTTTCATTCGATCATTTCTTCAATTGTTCATTCATTACTTTAATTCATGTTTGTACTTTTGTCCATGTACATGTACTTTTGTCCATACATGTACATTCTCATATTCATTCATTCGTTCATCCGTTTATTAATTCATCCATCCTTGTTTGTTCATTTGTTTGTAGATTCATTCCTTCGTTTATTCAGTTTGTCTATTACAGTGTTCTTTCATTCGTTTGTTCATACATCCAGTCTTTGTTCATAGATTCATTCATTTGTTTGTTCATTTGATCTGTTTATTCATATGTTCATACATTAATTCTTGCCCATGTTCATAATTTTGTTCATTATTTTGTTAATTCACTGTATGTTTGTTCTTTTGTCTGTTCGTTAATTTATTCAGTCATGTTCATTTGTTTGTTCATTCATATGTTCATTGATTTGTTTGTTAATCCATTCATCCATTCACATTTAGTTCGTAGATTCATTCGTTCAAGTATCAAGCGTAGCGTTAGTTCTGGCAGGTCACGTTAGTCAAGCTCGCATCAGCTGACCTTCAGCTGATCCCCATCTACCTATAGGAATATGACACCTATCTAAGCATTCATATATAAGGTCCCTCAGTATTATCAGCAGTTTTCGCATTGCTCAATAGCTAATTACCCTCCTCCATCCCCAGCTCCTCCTCTGTCAGTCAGGATTCATTCTTCTGATTCTCCTTGAATCAGACTGATTCTAAAATGTGTACATAAAATTATTGAACTTTAATGATATATCTGCAATACATTTATGTTGGTTCTGTTCTGTTTACCCTGGGGGGGTTATTGCTGCTGTCCCTGCTCTCATCCATGCTAGGCTGCATGGATGCGCAGGGAGTTCTTGCCCAGAACAGAACCATACCGCCAATCCAAACTGTATAATTGTCAATCATCTTTGACGATAGTGGTCCTGACAGAAATGTATTTATCCATCTGTTCATTCATTTATAAGTTTATTCATTCAAAGCAAAGAGTAGGAATGATAGAGGGAGCGTAAAAGAGAACGTCAGAGATCTCACAACGTCGTGTTTATTTGAACTTGAGCTAAAAATAAGCTGCAGTTACTCCATTAACCAGGGATCACTTAGAGACGACTGTGAGATCCTGTTTCATAATGAGACCCAAAAACAGTTTTTGCGTGTGAAGCCTCTCCGGGCCCCAAACGAGCTCGGCAGACGCAAATTACAGTATAAGAGGCTCTGAGAAAACTGACATTTGTGAATAAATTGGCGTAATGGGGATTTTCGTTGCAAAAGTTTATTTTGAGATATTGAGAGATGTGTTATGCATTCTAAACCTAATTTCATACAATGCTTCAAATGTACACCACCATTCAAAGGCACAGTAATATTGTGAAATATTATTACAATTTAAAATTACTGTTTTATATGGTAATATATTTAAAATGTAAATTACATTGATCACTTCTGATTAGTAATGTAATGAAATGTTATTGCAATTTAAAATAACTGTTAATAGTAATACTGTGAAATAGTCTTACAATTTAAAATAAGTTTTCTATTGTAATAGTATTATTGTGAAATATGATTACAAACTAATATAACTGTTTTATATTGTAATATATTTGACAAAATAAATAAAAATATCATGTTTGATTAGTAATATTTGATTAGTCGTGGCCTAATGCTTAGAGAGTCGGACTTGTCACCCAAAGGTGTTTTATATTGTAATATCTTTTAAAATGTTCATTAAAATAACCACTTTTGAACAGTAATACAGCGAAATATTTTTACAATTTAAAATAGCTGTTTTATATTTTAACGTGCTTTTATGTTGTAATGTATTTTAAAGTATAAATTAAATTAGTAATGATGTGAAATATTATTACAATTTAAAATAACTGTTTTAATATATTTCAAAACGTAAATGAAAATGATCACCCTCATACATCTTTGCTAAATTAAAGTATTAATTTCTTTCGAAAATCTTACTGACCCCAGACTTTTTAATGCGTGCTGGAATTGAAATTAAAATGATCACCCTCATACATCTTTGCTAAATTAAAGTATTAATTTCTTTCGAAAATCTTACTGACCCCAGACTTTTTAATGCGTGCTGGAATTGAAATTAAAATGATCACCCTCATACATCTTTGCTAAATTAAAGTATTAATTTCTTTCGAAAATCTTACTGACCCCAGACTTTTTAATGCGTGCTGGAATTGAAATTAAAATGATCACCCTCATACATCTTTGCTAAATTAAAGTATTAATTTCTTTCAAAAAATCTTACTGACCCCAGACTTTTTAATGCGTGCTGGAATCGATGATTTGCAAGCCCATCATCTAATGGAAATTTTGAAATGCATCAAAAAGCAGTACGCTTCTTTACATTTCCCACTCACTTCCTGATGTTTTATGTTGTCTGTGTTTTTTTTCCCAGGTGATGATGACTTCCTGTTGGGATTGGGTGAGCTGCCAGAGACCTTCCCCAGCGACCCTCCAGAGCCCCTCCCACACTTCCTGCTGGAGCCGGAGGACGCTTACATCATCAAGAACAAAGCTGTCAATCTCTACTGCACGGCCACGCCTGCCGCTCAGATCTACTTCAAATGCAACGGCGAGTGGGTCCATCAAAGAGAACACACCATAGAGGAGCGGGTGGACGAGACGTCGGGTCAGTCACACACACACACACACACACACACACACACAGCATCACTCTCCTTTATGGGTCGGAAACATTACAGCCTTTTCTGAGGTGCAATAAAAATGTGATAGCTCTGCTTTATTCATGGTTTTCATTGCTAAAGGTGCTGCTAGAGAGATAGATAAACCCCTTCCTGACACGTACAGGTTTGTGTATTATTTATGTGATGTTATGAGAGCTTTTTTATGAAGGCTTCTTTATATGACTGCTATGGACACAGGGAGTAAGTATAGTCAACACCAACTGTGATCAGAGACACGACCTAGACCACTTTCACTGACCGTGGATATATATGGAAGCTTGTTTCCGCCATGGGATAAAAACAAACCAAAAAAACTTTTTATCTCACAATTCTGAGAAAAAATGTCTGAATTTCAAAAAGAAAGTCAGAATTTCGAGTTTATATCTCGCAATTCTGACTTCTTTTCTCACAATTGTGATTTACAGAATATCGCACAATTCTGATATTTTTCTCAGAATTGCAAGTGTATATCTTGCAATTCTGCGTTTATATGCTGCAATTCTGAGTTTATATCTCGCAATTATGAATTCAGATCAATTTAGTTCAATGTTGATTCAATTCAGTTTAAAAACTGTCAGTGTTGCAAAGTTCATCAATTATGAAACAAGTTTAATTCAGCCACACTGTAAAAATGTTTTTTTTTTTTCATAGTTGTAAAAAAAAAATGGAGTACATTTTGCAAGAAAATAATACTTCAGTCTTTCTACTTTAAATTTTTCTTAAATGTAATTTTTTTTTATTTAAAAAAAAAATGTAAAAACATTTTTTAAATTTAAATTTTTTTAAATTTAAAATTAATTTTGTTTTAATTTTTACATTTTAAATGTTTAAATGTTGAAATTTTTTAAATTGTAAATTTTTTTAAAATTCTTTGTAAAATTTGCTAGCAATTTCTGAGTGAAAATTGTTTCAAAGTAAGTCCTACATCATATTTTTTCAGTGTATAAGTAGCTACAAAAACTAATCTACAATAGTCATTATTCAGCTCAAGTAAGTTCAATGTTGATTCAATTCAGTTCAAAAACTGTCAGTGTTGCAAAGGTCATCAATTATGAAACAAGTTTAATTCAGCCACCGTAAAACATTTTTTTTTTTTTTTCCAAAGTTGTAAATAAAACATTGGAGTACATTTTACAAGAAAATACTACTTCAGTCTTTCTACTTAAAATGTTCTTTACATTTTTATTTATTTATTTTTTTTACATTTTTAAAATGTAAAATTTTTTACATTTAAAAATTTTTAAATGTCTTTGTAAAATTTGCTAGCAATTTCTGAGTGAAAATTGTTTCAAAGTAAGTCCTACATCATATTTTTACGTAGCTACAAAAACTAATCTACAATAGAGTCATTGTTCAGCTTAAGTAAGTTCAATGTTGATTAAATTCAGTTCAATAACAGTGTCAATGTTGCAAAGTTAGTGTCATCCGGCTCAATTCAGTTCAGATTTTGTCCTCCGATGGATAGTGTCAGTGCAGTTAAATCGATAACATTATTCTTTAATAATTGTCTTTTAAACAGAAGATACTAGAGATTCCGAGTGAAATAATTAAATAAATAAGGTATGCACTCGCAATAAAAAAGGTGTTTTATTGGTTTTATGGTTTCAAGAAGAACCTTTAACATGCGTTTGAGGAGCCAAAAAGTGTTGTTCTGTTTTTAAGAGTGTTGTTGATTTAATCAGGTGAGCAAAACAACAGTGTCTGTTGTCTTTTTCGGTCACAATTCTGTAGCTCAAACTGTATTGCATTGCATTAGCAGTGCCAAGGTCATGGGTTCGATTCCCAGGGAATGCATGAACTGATGATATGGTATGTATACATCCAATGCAAATCAGAGCATCTGCCAAATGCATAAATATCTTTTCATACAGAGTAAAAGCCAAGAACAGTGAGTGATCCAGATCCACTTTTGGTGATAGTCAAATGCTAATGTGTTACAATTCATAGTCATTTCTTTTCCACTTTCAAAATGTTTTATACAAGGAAACTTGCAGTGACATAAAAGTGCAGAGCAGATGGGTATTGGCATATTGGTATTACTGGTTACTGTACTGGTATGAAGAAGATGAATAAGTGCTAATGAAACATAAATTAAAGATTTTAATTATCGACTACCATGTTCAGAAGTTTGGGGATTGTAAGACTGTTTAATGTTTACAGAAGTCTCTTCTGCTCACCAAGGCTGCATTTATTTGTTAAAAAATGCAGTAAAATCAGTAATATTGTGAAATATTATTACAATTTAAAATGACTGTTTTCTATTGTAATATTTTGTAAAATGCAATTTATTCCTGTGATGCAAAGCTGAATTTTTTAAGCATCATTACTCCAGTCTTCAGTGTCACAGGATCCTTCAGAAATCGCTTTTGATCAATTTAATGCATCCTTGCTGAATAACAGTAATAATTTACTGACCCCAGACTGAATGAGAAATCTAGCTATAGAATAAGACGTTTTAGGTGAATGTTTCACCTATAGCACTCAATTGCAGCAGCACTAAGAATGCAACAATCTTAAAATGAAACCAAGCTTTTGCGCTCACATATTTGCATATGTTTTAGGCCTAATGTATGCTGTAGAAGACAGAAACACTGCCGTGCATTTCAAGGTTAGGTTAGTTCGATCATTCAGAGCAAAAACAGCACGTATTGGCTGAGGCTGAAGCGCAATCACCTCACCGCAGCTCGGTGTGGGCGAGCGAAGAGCTCAATTCATTACGCAGAGGTTAACAAGCTCCTATTGAGCTAATGACTCTAATGGATCTTTGATATCAACCCGCCGCAGTAATTCTGCTCTAATATCTCTGCGGTGGAAACTTTACTGTCATAATCACACCTCGGATATTACTCGGGGTCAGAGCGTGGAGTTATTACGGGCCGCCGAAACGAGGCCAGCTGCTCTAAACACTATCATTGAACTTTATCGAGTGGCCTTAATGTGCGATGGTAACGTTTATCATAAAAAACTATAGTGCGTGTGAGAGAGAAAGAGATTTAGAGAGAGAGAGCGAGAGAGATAAAGTTTATGCTTTTAATTAGATTTTCACTCTCACTGTTTGGTTTAGGTCTGTCTTTGTTCGCCGGCCACGAGCTCCCTCTGGCATCGCTATCTGTCTCTATTTGGGATGGTGTAATATCGTTATGAATCAATTTCATTGTTCGTTTTGGCAATTGTGAGTAAACAAGGTTAAATCTGTTCCTTGTCATGAAAGCTGGTGTGTAATCGGCTCATGGTGTGTGTGATGAGTGTTTTGTGTTTCCAAATTGCGCAGAAGATTCAGATTGAGCCTCATTATCTGGTTCAGTCAGAAAGACTCTTTCCTGCTGCGGTCTTGGTCTCAGAGGGCCTCGTTTAAACAGTGTTAGTATATTTACACAACAGAACGGCGTTCAGAAAAACATCCGCCATATTCACAAAGTCAAGTAAGTTTCCATTGTTTTCTAGAAGAACGATCATTTATCTTTTGGTGGGCAATAGTGATGGGATTTAAGCTTATAAAAACTGAATGTATAACATAATTAGAAAAAAAAATATTGTTGAAGTATTCATCTAATATTTTTAATGCATGAAAAATGCTGCACAGGGACATCCATGAATGTTTTTTGGAGTGATCATTAAAATGAATCCTTGAATCACTTGATTCATTGGAAATAACAGTTTGAACTGATTCACAGAAATTAATCAAATTTACTGACTCTAGCTGCTTTTATGCAACTGAATTTGAATTCTGGGATTGCATTTAAACATCTCAGTCTTGAAGCTCATTTATTGAAAATATAAACTACCATTCAAATGTTTGAGGTCAGTAAGATTTTTTAATGCTTTCGGAATAGGTCTCTTCTGCTCACCAAGGCTGCATTTATTTGATCAAAAATGCAGTAAATACAGTAATATTGTGAAATATTATTACAATTGAAAATAACTGTTTTCTATTTGTATATAATGTAAAATGTAATTTATTTCTGTGATGCAAAGCTGAATTTTCAGCAGTCTTCAGTGGCACATGTTCCTTCAGAAATTATTCTACTATGCTGATTTGCTCTTTAAGAAACAGTTATGATTATTGTCAATTTTTAAAACAGTTGTTCTGCTTCATATTTTTTGTGGAAACCATGATACATTTTCTTCAGGATTTTTTGATGAATAGAAAGCTCAAAAGAACAGCATTTATTTGAAATAGAAATCTTTTGTTATAGATTATAAATGTCTTTACTGTCACTTTTGATCTATTTGTTGCATCCTAGCTGAATAAAGCAATTGATTTCTTTAAAAAAAAATTACTGATCCCAAACCTTTGAACAGTAGAGTATGTTTGTGAACAATATACTCGCATGCACAGTTTTTCAATGTTTCAGATTCATCTGCGTTGTCTGTTCTTGACAGACGTCCCAAAGAGAAAATTGCAACAGGAATTCAGTTTTTATTCACAATAATCCAAAACAAAAGTGTGTGTGTTTGTGTGTGTTTGTGTGTACTTACAGATCTTATTGTAAACGCACCCCATCCCATTATTGCTGTCATTGATTTTCTGCCTGCGTTTATGTATGTGTGCTTTTACATGCTTTGTGCGTTTTTATGCTTGCAAGGCTGCGCTGTATTGATATTCATCCAGCAGTCAATGTTAGAGGTGTTTTTTAGGCAATATTATTATTGCTAGTGCTCATAGTGCTTTGCACAAACCTCTAACATTAAATGTTAAGGTTCAGTGTGGGTCGTCCTGCAGTGATTGTGTTCAGACTTGAATGATTCCTCAAATCATGTGTGTTGTTGAGGAGAGGTGAGCTGGTACCTTAAGTGGTCAGACACATGATTTTCACTTGCTGGACAATAAAACAGGTGAAAAAAAAAACTTACAAAAACAGACTTACATTGGTCTATAGATGTTGCTCTGGTTCTTCCTTCAGAGTATCTCAGAGATTTGTGAGTTCATCCACAAAATGCTCATGCTCTGAATGAGATATGCATTTTGTCTACATATTTTTGCAATCCAAACAACCCCTTTCATCAATGAAATGCAATTCTTGTTCACAGGTGTGGATGAAATGTATTGCATCTTTGCATTTCTATTTACAACATGCAACCTTGTTTTGTCTTGAAATACTGCATTTTACATTATACACTGCAATTATTTGACACCCCATACAAAACAAACGTGGAATACTTAAAACATATGTGGAATGACAAACTGTGCCGAGTTCCACGTCCCAAAACATTTTTTGTACGTTAAGCGACTATTCGTGAGCTTAATTAACTGCAGATATATATGGAGAAAAATATTTCAAGTCTTTTTCTAAAAGATGCAAATAGTGCAAAAATGCAATTTTTAGATAATTTCAGCCTGAGATGTACCGTCACTATTTTTTGTACACTTTAAGATAAAAGTTCCTCAGAATCTCCCAGTGACTACGATAGAATGTTTTGCACACAAAATGTAATTGACAGTGCATTCTGTTTAGTGATTGGTCTTCTTACTTACATTTATTTGCATACTGATTTGTGATTGGTCATTTCTTTCTTGCATCTTTTTAATCATCTTTAGCCGCCTTGTATTGTTTCTGCTGCCTTGCAAAAACTTTAGGTGATGCAAATCGAGTTTCCTATTTGTTTTTTAACATCTATTTTAAATAATTATAGTTTGTTTGGTATTTTAATTTTTTTATTTCGCGTTGTCTGTCTGTTAGTCGTTCAATTTCTTTGTGTGTGTGTGTGTGTGCACTGCAAAAATCATTTTCTTAATCAGTATTTCTTGTTTTCAAAATTAAAGCAAATTAAATCATTTAAGAATAAAAATTACAGAATTAAGAGAACATGCATTATTATTTTTTGTCTTGTTTTTTCATGATCACAACTTGATTTCCATCCATTTTCTCATGATCTTGACTTGAGTGGAAAATGTTTTAAGCATAAATTCACTGTAAAATTAATGCTTAATACAAGAAGAAAAAACATTATTTGTTCATACATAGATATATTCTCTGAAAGCAAGTCTTATATCCTATGAAATTTGCTTCTCAAATAAATGTATCTTGTTGTAAGTATATTTTAAAGAAAACAACGCAAAATCCCTGCAGTGTGTCTGTCTGTCTGTGTCACTCACTGCATCGAGTTCTTGAGTGTGTATACCATAAAGTTAGATCATCATTCTTCACCTCATCCTGTGTGAATCCTGCTCTATGCTCTTTTATAGCTGCTTGACCATGAATGATGTTTGTTTGAACATTCATGTGTGTAAGTGTGTCTTTTCACCTCACTCCTTCTGTTCAAGGCTACAGGTTTCTGCCGTTCACATCCAGCATTCTGCACCAAATTCTGCCATAAACACAAAAACCCAAAGCACTAAACAAATAAACACAGAGGGTAAGTGTGAACTATTGATTTCTATCAGGGAATATTTCATGGAGACATTGAGGGGTTCATTATTTATACATGTACAACAGAAGTCTGCTGGCAGAGCACTAAAATATATATAAAAATATCTCACTTGCATCATGTGACATCGGTGTGATCGGCACTGACGTGGTGGGAGATTTGTAGAATCACAAGCCAGTAACATCATCACTTTGAGGTACGATATCTGTATCAGTAAGATCAATTCCATGCGATATAATTAAATCTAATTAAATTAGATTTAGCTGTTCACAGGGCATCTGAGGAACTTTGTACACAAAAATGTCAACAGCTTTGTCAGGCCTGATTTATGCAATTTCGTGTGAACATTTTACACGTTCATACAGTTCCACGGTCATACAGATTTGGACAACATGAGGGAAATGTTCTTGAATACGTGTTATTTTAGTATCACTGATATTCTATTATAGTTTTTGTTAATATTCTGAATTATATTTTATATTTAAGCCTTTTCTTTTCACTTTAATTTTAGTTAATATTTTTATAATTGTGTTGTGTTTTTGTCATTTTATAAGTTTTTGTTTTTAGTAATTGTTATTTATTAGTGTTATTTAATATTAGTTATTTTAGTACTTCAAGTTAAACTAAATGAAAATGAGAAAAGTTGCCTTGGCAACTAAATTAGATAAAATAAGTTTAATTGTTTATTTATATTTTATTTCATTTAATGTTTATTTTGATTCAAGTAACACTTTTTTTTTTTGCAGTTATGTTTTCAAATTGTTACCATTTATTATTTCTACATGATCTGACTATGAGGGAGAGGGAGTTAATAAAAACCTAATTAATAAAAAAAAGTAAAATTAAAATAAATAAATAAATGTAAAATAAAAACAATCAATCAAAAATTAAACACAACAATTAAACTAGATTAAATATTGTATGTTTACCTTCATGTCAGTGCGAACATTAATAGACATCAGAGAACCATGAATGTGAATGTGTTTTTAGATTATTCAAATATGAAATATTGTATATCAAAGAGGCTTTGCTAACAAAAAAGTTTATAGGAACCCCCTCTGTAACCTAATGTAGGCATGTTGATTTAGTCATATCAAATAATATTTTTGTGACCCTACAATGACAATTAATTATGGTTTAATTCAAAACTATGAATTATTGTACAATTTATGGTAAAAAAAAAGGAACATTAAACAGTAAAGGAACATTCCCAGAAGTCCATACATGACACATATGATTATATTTTACATATTATTACATTTACAAATTTACATTTACATTATTACAAATATTACATTTATTATTATTTTTTTTTTTCTTCTCAATTTGCTATCAGTAATGTACATTTTGGTGTTTTTTTTTACATTTTGTCATCAAGTTATTTTTTTTGTTGTTTATTATTTATTTGTTTTATTTTTTCCATTTAATTTCTGTCAACCACAGCTGCCAGTTTTTAACCATGAATTTAAAAGTTTTAAAACATGCAGTTTAATATCTTTTGAAGATGTGCTCTCATTCAGAGATGTCCAGTTATTGAAGCAGGATTGGGCATAAGGCTGATGTTTGCACGTTTAACATTTATTGCATCTGACACACACTTTTATCCTATCTGACTTTAATTGCATTCAAACTGTACAGTTTATCAATTCGAACCCATGACCTTGAGATTGCTTACTCTGCCGACTGAGGTACAGGAACGCTTTGAGACGGGAATGTTTACACAAAAATCCTGTCTCTTGTTTAGTTCTTGGCATATTTTTTAGATAAGTATGCACAGCCATCCTGAGGATTCTTTGATCAGCTGACTCTCACAAAACTCATGCAGCTACACTTTCTTTGCAAGTACTTGTAATGCAGAAATTGCGGATTGCCTTGTTACATAAAAAAGTTTTGTTTTTTTTTTGTTTTTTTTTTTAAATTCTGTATGTGTTGTCAATCAGTGTGGACCAGACATTGTGCCGATAGTCAAACGTCTGGCGACGTGAGTCTGATGCGTGTGTGTGTGCAGGTTTGGTGGTGAGGGAAGCACGGATCGAGATCTCCCGGCAGCAGGTGGAGGAGTTGTTTGGTTTGGAAGATTACTGGTGCCAATGTGTCGCCTGGAGCTCCGCAGGAACCACCAAGAGCCGCAAGGTGCACGTCCGCATCGCATGTGAGTATATAAACACACACACACACACACACACACACACAGTGCTTTTATGAGAGGAGTCTTTGCTCTGTCTGCTCTGACTGCAGGAGATTTCTCTGTCTGACAGACACTTTGGCTTCATGTTTATTGACACACACGGTCTGTGAGAAAGTCTGTAAGCTGGATGAAGGTAATGGAGTATTTATGCAGATCAGGGTCTGCAGACAGGAGACTGTCTGGAGCACACACACACACTCACAAACACGGGGGACTGTCTGGATATTGCTTTATGGTTGTATTAATCTTGTTAATTTCCTGCAGTTCATCTTGAGTGTGTGTGAGTTGGGAGCAGGTTATCGGTGCGGCCCAAGGGCACTTCACTCTACCTCTGTCGTCTCGGGTTGAGTGTGTGTGTGAGAGAGACACAGGGACATGGAGACTGAAGCTGACTGGCAGTACAACACAATAAACTTCCTCTCATCTGGATGCTTTCAGGATCAGAGCTAAATAAATCAACAGATAGACAGATAGACAGATAGATAGATAGATAGATAGATAGATAGATAGATAGATGAATGCATGAAATAGATATTACAAAAAGTAGGTTTAGAAAGATTTTAAAAAAAAAATTTCATTCTTTTTTTTTTTTCATTTTAAATTTTTGGGTGAACTATCCCTTTAATAAATAAATGTTTTGTTAATATGGATTTTTTTATTTTCAGATTTTTTATTAATATGTAAATATGAAATAATTTTTTATGAAATTATACTCTATTAATAAGAAACTAAAATTGCCAGTAGGTGGCAGTAAATGTTTTACTGAGTAAGTAATTGAGTCATTCATTCATTCGATTCATTCAAACTGCTGATTCATTCAGGAATGAAGTAAACGGCTCTCTTTATGAATGGGCCATTAAATGATTGGTTCACCCGATTTGTTCAAAATTAGTTGCTTTCAGAAACTGTGTTGCTTGGAGACACACAACAGTTCTGCTGTGGCTTTAATAGGTAATATAAAAACTGATCAAAAACATACAATATTGTGTCTAAAATATAACAGTAGCTTCTTATTTAGTGAACTGCTGTATAAAATCAATACCACATTTGCACATTTGGGACAAAAACAGCACTCGTGTGATACTGAAAGTGAAAGTGAAGTGACGTGTGGCCAAGTATGGGGACCCATATTTGGAATTTTTGCTCTGCATTTAACCCATCCAAGTGCACACACACACACCGTGAACACACACCCGGAGCAGTGGGCAGCCAATGCTGCGGGGCCTGGGGAGCAGTTGGGGGTTTGGTTTCTTGCTCAACCAGGGTCTCACCTCAGTCGTGGTATTGAATGGAGAGAGCACTGGTTATTCACTCCCCACACCGACAATTCCTGCCGGACCTGCGACCTTCGGGTTACAAGTCCGACTCTCTATCCATTAGGCCACAACTGCCCCCCACGACTGCCCTGGACTCGTGTGATATTGCTTAAAGGGGTCCTATTATGCTCTTTTACAATGTCTTGAATTTGTTTTGGGGGTGTACTAGAACATGCTCTCATGCTTGGTGGTTCGAAAAAC